TGCGAACTTCCATCCATAGTTCTTCAGGCACTCTGTCTATCAGATCCAGTTCCTTAAATCTATTTGTCACCTCTACTGTATATTCATCAGGAATATGATTTAGTTCATACCTGAGTGGCCTAGTGCTTTTCCCTACTTTTTTCAATTTAAGCCTAAATTTTGCAACGAGAAGCTCATGATCTGAGCCACAGTCAGCTCCTGGTCTTGTTTTTACTGACTGTATAGAGCTTCTCCATCTTTGGCTGCAGAGCACATAGTCAATCTGATTTCTATGTTGACCGTCTGGTGATGTCCATGTGTAGAGCCGTCTCTTGGGTTGTTGGAAAAGAGTGTTTGTTATGACCATCGTATTCTCTTGACAAAATTCTATTAGCCTGTGCCCTGCTTCATTTTGTACTCCAAGGCCAAACTTGCCTGTTATTCCGGTTATCTTTTGGCTTCCTACCTTAGCATTCCAATCCCCCATGATGATAAGGACATCATTTTTTGGTGTTAATTCTATAAGGTGCTGTAGGGCTTCATAGAACCGGTCAATTTCATCCTCTTCAGCACCAGTGGTTGGGGCATAGATTTGGACTACTGTGATATTGAATGGTTTGCCTTGGACTCGAATTGAGATCATTCTGTCATTTTGAGGATTGTATCCCAGTATTGCTTTTCCTATTCTTTTAGTGACTATGAAGGCTACTCCATTTCTTCTGAGGGATTCTTGCCCACAGTAGTATACCTGATGGTCATCTGAGTTAAATTCACCCATTCCTGTCCATTTTAGTTCGCTGATTCCTAAGATGTCGATGTTCAGTCTTGTCATCTCTTTTTTGACTACGTCTAGCTTGCCTTGATTCATGGATCTTACATTCCAGGTTCCTATGGAGAAAAAATCTTTACAGCATCGGACTTTCCTTTCACCACCAGATATATCCACAGCTGAGCGTCCTTTCGGCTTTGGCCCAGTCGCTTCATTCTTTCTGGCGCTACTAGTACTAGCCCTCTGCTCTTCCCCAGTAGCATATTGGACACCTTCTGACCTGAGGGGCTCATCTTCCAGCGTCATATCTTTTTTCCTTTTAGTACTGTCCATGGGGTTTTCATGGCAAAGATACTGGAGTGGTTTGCCATTTCCTTCTCCAGTGGATCACATTTTGTCAGAACTCTCTGCTATAACCTGTCCGTCTTGGGTGGCCCTGCACGGCATAGCTTATAGCTTCATTGAGTTACGCAAGCCCCTTCGCCACGACAAGGCAGTAATCCATAAAGGGGAGTCCTGAAATAGGGGTTGTTATTATCCCTGTACTGAAAATGAGTACATGAATAAGAACCCGAATTGGAACAATAAAGATCAATTCAACAAAATAGCTACACTGTATTTATCTGCATCAAACTGTTTGCTCTCAATACTCTAGAAAAGAACTGGTATAAAAAGCAAAGAAATGTTCCTCTTGAAGATAATCAGGTAGAGTAGAAAAACGAAAAGGCCCTCTCTGTTCTTTCACAGCGTGAAAAGGCCATTGTGTTTTTTTTCTAAGAAACCAGTGAAGATAAAGTTGTCATTCCTAGTAGACATAGTGATAAATTCAATAAAAAGATAGGTCCCAACTCCCTTGTTATCAGTGCAAACGTTATCTCTTCACATGGGCTGGGAACTGCAAAAGCATTCAGTTTTGATTTAATTGAACTTGAAATCTCAGTAATTGCATCCACCAAGATCAGAGATAACCCATCATTCTCATCAATATATTAATGCATCCAGAAGTCAAATCTCAAACTGGACTTCAAGGGAAAAATAAATCTCTTTAAGGTTGAATGTAAAGTAACTCGTGTACAAATCAAAACTCATCCAACATTCATTACAGAAAGAGCTCCTAGTATTTTACTTATCATAGTGGAGTCTCATATAACCTGTGTAAGAGCCAGACTTGGCAAAAGCCCAAGGTGGCCATTTTAACATGGAACAGAGGAAGACTTAGCCTAAGAGGAATTTACAATCCTCACTTACATGCCTCTTGGGGCTATGAAGCTAAAGGCCTGTAATGGGTGGCAGGTACAATAAAACAATTAAAAAAGGATAAAGCCTTTATATTTGAATTGATCTAATCTTCTCTCCCCACTGGGATCCAAAGAGAGATCTTTCTAGAATTACCACATTTTATCAATAGACCAGGAAAATTAACAAAAGCCTGAATTTCATTTACATGTGAGTAGGAAAAAAGGTCACTGAAAACTGCTTTTACTCTGAGCTAAGAGTGCCCAGCAGCAGAATAAAACAGCTCTCTGTGTCTTACCTGTCTTGTAGCACCAAAGAAGCTAGAAGACATTTTATTAATTGGTCCGCTAATTTCTCAGAATTTTCAAACTCAAAACTCTGATTCGTGATTCACAGATACAAAAGTGAGATATAGACAGAAACCATTAGATGCAAAATGTGAACATTTAAAGGAAATTCAGTGACATATTCGGAAACGTAGGTCCAGATTATGAACAATTTGAATCACCTTTATATTTGTGTGTGTGTGTGTGTTTGTGTGTATAGGTTAATTTACATAGGTACACTGTTGCTAGCTGTTTCCTACCTCTGCTGCTGTGTCTAACAACTGTCTGATGGGGAGAAGCTCAATAAGTTATTACCTGGCTTAGGTTTGGAGGAAATGGGTCTGTCTGGGTTGTATATATATGTCTTTGTGCATCAGATTGCTGCCGAAGTGTTTTTAAAATGAACTGAGGGTTGGAGTGTGTGTATATATGTGGAAAGAGCAAGGCCAGAGACTCAGTTCTGTAAGTGCCACAGTACTGCATGTTTAGAATCATTGTGGAGTTGGAAGGCTTTATAAATTTACAAAGATAAATATCTAAATAAAATGTAGAGGCTGCTTCAGTACTATAGCTGCACATTCATAAACTGAACTCTACGGATAGCTTATCTTCAAACCTGCTTGTATTACAGAAATAATAGCTTGTACCAGGCCTAAATCTACATTTAGATAATGATAGGATTACTGCTTATTATCTTAGTTCTACCCCATACTTCCTTGCAAAATGGAATGGCTACAGTTTAAGCCTCAAGAGCATCAAATGGGAATAGAAGAGGAACAACAGTCACAGCGAAGTTGTCAATAAAATCTATGTTCAGACTCTATTGTAAAAAGGTTACTACCAGTTTAGAAAAAAAAACACCTTAGGGTATGCAAAATTCAGTGCCAATGATGCAGTTTAAACAGGCATGTCCCACCATGGCCAAATATATAATCATTCTCGGAATGTATAAGTGCTTTGGAGCTTCAAAATAAATGGTCTTTCACTTTGTTCAACTCTTTAAAAGGAAGCTCAGATTCAATTATTCATGAGATTATTTTTCCTCCCTTTGGGAAATCTAAATAAAGGTTAAAAGACCCATGCTCCTTTGATGACTATTACCTTCTGTCTGGGCAAGCATGTTGGTCTGTCTGGAAAGTGGATATGATAGCAGTCCTTGTTTGCAGAACTAAACAGTGAGTGTTGCTGGTACTTGAGAAACATCTAAGAGAGAATTTTTGGTTTAGTGTCCATATGTCATTCTTCTCTGCCTTTTACCCAAATACACCCATTTGCTTTCATTGCCTACCAAGATGTCTGGTGTAAGTTGATTTGTAAGGTGTGATTAAGAATTGACAATTGCCACAAACATAGAGGTGAATTTGAATAGTATCTCTAACCAGCATTCCCAGTGGATAATTAATAGTGGAAGCCCAATAGCATTGTCAGGACTGCTATCCATTCCTGGACTGGAACAACCAATGGAATTTGTGTGGGGAATAACAATGATAGAAGATTCTAGCTTTCATTTTTCTGTGTATGGACTTCTCAGAGCTACTTATTGGGAATTATGCAAAACAGGACCTTGAATGATGTAGATATTGGATTTAATCCAACAGTGCTTTTCTTACATTAGTAAAAAAAGATTAGCTCATTTCTTATTTGGAAAGACGTTATTTAAAATTCTATCCATATTTTTACCAATCATGTAGTGACTATAGCAAATGTTTATAACATGGTTATATAAGCAAGCTTAGCAAATTAATACTGAAATGGCAATTATTGGACTCGTACTAGGGTCAAAATACAGTTAAGGAGCTCACTAGTATCCTTTCTTTCTCCACTAGCTACTTTAGTGGAGTTTTCAAGCTGACATAAATAAAGGAAAGAAGAATAGTAGTTAATTGCTTTGAGCTCCTTAGTTGAAAGTTGGGATATAAATATAATAAATTCAGTTATACCAAGCAGAATAACAAAAATCCACTATTAAACTAATCATGATCTCTTATTTTCATTATGATTTTGCTCATTACTTTCTGGGGTTAAAACGGAATTTTCCCTCTGTATATACTGTACGGTTACACAATCACAAAAACCTGTCTCTATTCTCATCCTAAAAGTTTCTTACTATTCATTCCCACATTACTCACCAGTGCGTCCAGGGTTTGATATTTCCCTTATTAAAATACAAGAACCGAAGGCACAATTTTTTTGTATTTCACACTTATATGCCAGAAGAAATTATTTCAGCATTTGCTATAATTCTTGTGATCCTATTTCTAGAGTTGAAAACTGATAAGATCTATTGAAGATAGATATATCATAAATTATTTAGGAGAACGTAGCTGATTCTTTTCCTCCTCACTTCTCAGGGGAAATCATTAATAATGTACATAAGCAGTATTGTAGCAGTTTAACACAGAGTTAGATTAATTTCAGTTTCTTGAACTCAGGGAGCGAAGACTGGATGGAGTTAAGACTGGGACCAAGGACAATATAACCTTAGCTTAAGTGGCTAGCAGACAAAGGACTGAAATGTCAATAGCAAAAATGCCATAAATTACTCAAGCTATAGGCAGCTAATGACCTTGTGTATTCAAATTCCTGCTCCTCTGAATAGCAGGGATATAAAGGGGAAAGCTCTATCACGGAAGGACATATTTTATTTAATACAATAAAAAAAACCCTCCAACAATCACAGACAGGATAATATTTGATTTCAAATTGTGGTTGCCTTGATTCTTTTTCTTCTATAATTTTTTTAACAGTAAGAATTTGCATAGAATTGCCATTTAGAAAATAGAAGTCATGTATGAAAACCCACATCAGCCAAAGATTTCCTGATTGCTGACCAACTATCCTCAGTTAACCTTCCACGGAGGTGGATTCCTTTGGATCTTCACTCCGAGCCAGTTTGTAACGCTGAACTCTGAGATATTCTGTAGGTGTAAAGTTATGATACAAAGGTTTGTTGTTGTTTTTTCAGGCAATCTCATTACCGTTCATAAAATATTTTGTGAATATGTGTCTTTTAAAAAAAAACAACAAATAGCGCTAAGACTTGACTTTCAGAAACTCACAGTCTGGGATGGTTATTCTATCACTCTACTAGTGAGAGAGGACAAAAATCCTCTTCCGTCCCGTTTAACCCTGTGCTGGAGTGGTTTGCTTTCTAAAAAAGCTATTAAGCATAGCTTTTAAGAAAGAATGAAGAAAAAAAAACATAGTCATCTTAAAATCTCTGAGTTTAGTTGGCTGGATGCTTTTTCCTATTTGTACTTCTTGGACTAGACCTCCCTTTCATGAACTCGTAGGTAAGACATCTGTTTTCCAGGATCCTCCTTTTCTTACTTACCTGCTGCAAAGCTAGGACTTTGATTATCTCCGCTCAGATGTGTTGATATAATCTTGACGTCCCAAAACTAAAGTGGATTATTCTCCCTTTCTAATAGAAAGTAACTCTCTCATCAGTTTAACAATGTCCATAGGGTGGTATAATCCCCCCCCCGGTGTAATATGTGTGAGTTTAATGAGCTTTCTTTCAATAATGTTTTGCCTTTTTCACATCCCATACCTCAAATTCCATAGAAGCAACATCCTGAGAAAGCATTCTCCCAGTTTAGCTGGGAGGGCTTTCACCCAGGACTTGTAGAAGGAAGAACATTAGAGACTCTCAGATACAACAAGTAACAATGCTGCCGTTGGGCTCAGTCCCAGCCTAAAGCTTTGATATGCTCTCAAGAAGCTGGGATGCCACTTTATTAATTTAAAAATAGTTCAACACTGTGTACAAGTCTCATGTTCTGTAAAATGGAACATTAGCTTCTGTTTTGACAACTCCCCTGCTTTATTCAGGCTCACTGCTGTTTGTCACTTTCTCCCATTCCAAACTCTCATCACTTTGCACAAGGGAATCGGGTCCAGGCCGGATACGAAGACCTTGAAATCTCCGGCATTCGGGACACACCCGGATGTGTGTGCAACCTCGAGCAACCAGGGCAGCTTCTTGGGCAAGCCTCTGTGCTAGCTGGTCAGGGTCCCCACCACCACAGAGTTTGCCATTACTGAGGGTGGTAGTGGTAGTCGGGCGGGCTCTTCGGTCTTCTTGTATAATGGGGCGAGTCCGAAGAATAGCCCCTCTCCTTTGACGGGGGTGAAAGCTGTCCTTGCAGAGAATGATGCTACGCAATTCTGACACCATCTCCTGGCAGGCTGATATCTAAGATGGGGTAAAAAAAACAACAACCAAAAACCAAAATGTTAGAATATTAGTGTTTTTTTTTTTTTTTTAAAAAAAAACTGGTTCAATGTCAGTGGGGAACCACCTAAGGACTGTGGTGTTTTTGGTTAGATTGGGAACTCCTAAAACAAAAACAACTGCCAACAAGGCGTTGCAAGTCATGTCCATAAGAGCCGAGGCGGCGCAGCAGTTAGAGTGCAGTACTGCAGGCCGCTTTAGCTGACTGTGTTCAGCAGGTCAGCGGTTCAAATCTCACCGGCTCAAGGTTGACTCAGCCTTCCATCCTTCCGGGGTAGGTAAAATGAGGACCCAGATTGTTGGGGGCAATGTAAATATATATATACATTGCTTACTGGTGTACACCGCTTAGAGAGTGCTTGCACTTAAAGCGGTATATAAGTCTCATAAATAAATAAATAACGCTACCAGAAAACTGTATGGATGCAGTTACTAGTAGTTAAGCCTGACTTGAGAGCAATTTTACATAATGGTGCAACAGGAAAAAAATTGACACTAAGCCATTTGAAAATAAATAAATTATAAATAAATAAATTATGATAAATAGTCATAATAAATTCTAACTAAAAATGGTTATAGTTATACTTTAATATAAAGTATATTGTTTTATACTATAGTATGAAAAACTATACATTCCTTTGCGAATACTATTCCATTTTCCCAACTTTCAATATTATTTAGGAACTCTGCTCTTCATTTTACTTCATGTTATTCTGAGTGTTCGGTAGGCCTCTGAATATACTGGCCTATTTGTTCTTACTGTAGAACTCCTAATTTCCAGCTATCATGTTGGTGAAAAAAGAAGACTGTGAAATGAAAACAATAAAATAACATTCTTTCAAGGCAGAAATGGGGTTTTCTATAGTTGATAACTAGAGATGAAATATAATTGGATTCTGACAGTTACTTTTCTTCGTACTCTTTCCCTACGATTTAGTCCTGAGTCTGACTAAACTTAATTTCAGTTGAGAAATAGCTGTTCAGCTTAGTAGCATTGGCTTCACATTTGGTGATGTGATCATATCATCCAGGACACACACACACACACACACACACACACACACACACACACACACACACAAAATTAATTCAGAACAAGAACAGAACTTACTGAATAGATATTGTTCTTGCTATGATACAGCTTCATATGTCCTTGGTGCCATCATCAATCATACCATTGTTAACAAGGATGAAGGAGGACAAGGCTTCACATCAGAGAATAGTCTCAACTTTCCATGAGTTATAAAGAAGCTTACGTAACAGGTCTACCAGTTATTTAACTTACACATTACCAAGGTTACCAAATACTTTCTTTATTATACAGACACGAGATGATCTTTTGATTCAACACATTTAACCAAATGTTAGAGCATGCACCTACAACAAAAACTTACTTCAGAATGTTCAGAGTGTCGGAGACTCCACAAGAACTCCAGCATTGCCATAAAAATCGCTACGATTAAACCGCAAATCAGAACCACAAAGATTCCACCTATATTCTCCATTCCTAGACCTATCATAAAACAGACACACATAGAAACAGCATTAGCATGATGGATTAACTTCTAAGAAGCCACAAATTGCTGCTAGAATCTGCAAGCAGTGATTTGTGTGATCAATTGTGTAGCAGCCTGTGAGAAAGTCTCCCACCCACGATTAACACTAAATTAACCTTGGCATATTATGCAAATAAGCAACATAATGTAATGGCAGAAGAGGATCATAGCTAGCTTTCCTTGCATGCTAAGTTTGTATAAAAGCATTGCCCTTAATAACCCGGCACATTTAAACTAAAGAACAGAAAGTAGCTTGGTATAATATGGATGCCCAGCAATAACATACTACAACATACTAATTTTCAGTACTGATGAGTTAATAATATCTTAGGAATTCAAACTAAATTCATGAAAACTGAATAGTTTGCTAAAATACATGGAAATATATGTACAGTATCTTGGAGTCTTTCTGGGGTAGTTCCTGCTATTAGGAGAGTTCAAGCGAACAATGAGGATGGCTATCTCTAAAGCAGCATTTCTCAACTTTGGCAACTCTAAACTGTATGGACTTCAGCTCCCAGAATTCTGCAGCCAGCTATGGAACATTTCTGGGAATTGAAGCCCACATATCTTAGAGTTGCCAAGGTTGAGAAACATTATTTCCTCCTCCTTGCTGATGGAGACGAGACCGAGTCACTAAGGCGAACAGATAAAGGATGGGGAGCTTTATTATCGCTGATTTCTCTCAACTTTCTTTCCTATTCTTTAAACAAAACAAAACAACAATAACCAACAACCAACAACCCTCCTTTCTGACAGGTAATTCTCCCTCTGAAGGGAAATTTTTGAGGAATTGTTTCCAGGTCACTAAAACCTGGTGTTTCTCTTTTCTTGTTCCCTTCATTTCTAGAGTCACTGGATTCAGTTTCTAGAATTATACTGCTAGCCTTGTTGCCTTTCATGTTGAAATATCTCCTCTGTAGAAACTGGATCGTGGTATGCTGACACAGACAGAAATGACTACATTCATTGTGCAAGACTGGCTAGATCCCGGAATGCCCATTTGAGATGGAGTTAGGGATCTCTCTTTTATCACCCGATGGATGTTTTGTATAGTGTCAAAAACTCTTGTGATGGTTTAAGTCAGAGCAATCAGTATCATCTAGATTAGGGGTCCCCAGTCTGTGGGCTGTGGCATGCCAGCAATCAGACTGCACAAACAAACAAAGCCCCATCTGCGGGATGCAGGCAGCACACAAAACCACATCCCTTCTGGTCCGCAGAAAAACCTCTCTCTACGGAACTGGTCCCTGGTGCCCAAAAGGTTGGGGACCTCTGATCTAGATGCAGCTCTTTCTGCACTGATCCTTTGATTTCTGCAGCTAAGGAACTCATTGGTAAACAGCTTAATGAAGATAATAGGGTGATACAGCCATTTGGCATTGTCTTGTTCTTTAAGGTACTACAGTTCTTGTGCCTCATTAAGCATTTTCATACATTGCATATTTCTTCCAGCTCTTAATTCAGCTATGAGTTGCTTTGGGGCATCTTTAGCTCCCATATGTTGGACAAATAAGTTCTTTATTTTCTACTGCACAAGATTTTGCCTTTCTCTATAGAGCCACTACCTGACAGAGAAGATGGTTGATTGCATCCAGTTGTTGGGAGGCTTCTTCAGTCTTCTTAGCCTTCAGAAATACTGTCAATCTGAATATTTGCATCTTTGAGCTCTGTACCATCTCACAGTCATGCCCAAGTTGTTGCTCTTTCCCTCCATAAGTAACGGTCTGTCTTCAGCTGGCAGTCCTCCCATCTAAGGACAACATTTTCCTCTTCCAGAATTTCTTTTGAAGAGAATCAAAATGAAAATAATTCTGGACAGATGAAAAGGATTCATTTCTCTTCAATAGAGTTGAACAGATGGATTCTGACTCACTCTCTTCAGCAGTCCTGGTAGAAATCTGAAACAGCTCTTCTTCCATAGACAGCTCCTGATGCAATTGAGGAACCTTTTCCCTGATATATTCTGCTTGTTCTCCAAGAAGTTTATTTATTTATTTATTTATTTATTTATGAGACTTATATACCGCTTTGAGTGCAAGCACTCTCTAAGCGGTGTACACCAGTAAGCAATGTATATATATATTTACATTGCCCCCAACAATCTGGGTCCTCATTTTACCTACCCCAGAAGGATGGAAGGCTGAGTCAACCTTGAGCCGGTGAGATTTGAACCGCTGACCTGCTGAACACAGTCAGCTAAAGCGGCCTGCAGTACTGCACTCTAACTGCTGCGCCACCTCGGAGTTTTTCTTTCTCTCAGAGTTTTATTCCTCCTTCGTAACGGCTGACCCATTTGGACGGATCATTCTAAATCCCGCTTTTTCTCTTCAAGAAGACCCGTAACAGCCTCAGTGCCATTGTATGTTTTAGTCACCAGGCCCTCTTGTTCAGCACATAAAAGATAATGTCTCAGTGTCTCTTCTGTCTGCCCAGTTGTTAAGTCAATATTAGCATCAGGAGAAATAAGAGGCGTATCAATCCGATGGCTGTGATCATAGCCATAGATTGCATCTGCTCTTAGCTTGTAATGGGAGAGCTACTCTTCACGCTTCCTGATAATTTCAACTTCGAGAAGATCCGTACTACTGCACACAGTGGTAATGGGGCCAACCTCTCTGTATTCCCTGTAGTCTGACACATCATTGTCCACAGCTTCACTTATATAAGGCTCTTGACGAATGTCTCTACCATTGTCCAGGACTGCATGATTAGTGGTCTTGGGAGAAGGCACAATGGCAGACAAAGAATAGTTGTTCAAAACTGGCGTCCAGCTTGGCAAGCTTTACAGTGAAGTGCAACTGCTACTGGAGGGCCAGTGCAAGAAACTGGGTCCGACAGAGTTTGCAGTGTAATCTTCCTCTTTGCTGGTTGACACATAAGGCACAGGCTTTCTGTGATGTCATACAGTCACCATTGCAACAGGTCGACATTAATAGGCAACTGTGGTGGCATATTTGTCAGCAGTCCTTTGGGGCTTGCTGTACTCTAACAGTTGCATGGTATAAATCAGGAGTCCTCAAACGTGGCCACGTGAAGACTTGTGGACTTCAACTCCCAGAATTCCCCAGCTGGGGAATTCTGGGAGCTGAAGTCCACAAGTCTTCATGTGGCCACGTTTGAAGACCCCTGGTGTAAATGGATCCCTCTCCAGGTGGGGTGGATCAAGCAGCACAGGAGGGGTGAGGCTGGTGTTAGTGATCAACTACTTTGGGGGTGTCAAACTTGCAACGTCACGTGACGTGTCGCAACGTATTGCGATTTTTTTTCCATTGCTGGCAATGGGGTGGGCGCGGTTTGGCTATGATGCGTCTGGTCCACAGGTCGGCGTTTGACACCCCTGAACTATTTCTTCCTCTTCCCTCAGGTGAGTAGCTCGTTTGATTTCAACAGTGCCTCCTGTTTGACATCAAACTCAGATGAGTTAATACTGAACGTAATTGTCCCTTCAAATCAATGTTTCTCAACCTGGCCATGTTTAAAATGGGTGGACTTCAACTTTCAGAATTCTCAGCATGGCTGGCTGGGGAATGCTAGGTGTTGAAGTTCCCCCATCTTAAACTTGCCACAGTTAAGAAACATTGATGTAAAGCATTCCATTCACTGATTTGTTCATTTTTATTTTAGTCTTTGCCCAGCATAAGTATAAAATACAGAAATGTTCACAGATATATTTCTACTACATGGGGGAAATTATATAGTAATATTAAAAGTTAATTAAAATATATTAGTTGTTAAATACTTATATGACTAAGACGTATAAAACTAAAGACTAAGTGAATGGATCTATTTATTTTTTTCTCTACAGATATACCTAAAGAAATAACAGATGGAATAGAGACAAACAAATGATAGTAAAATGTGACTAAGTTAAATATCTTGCTGGGGCATCATTAGAAATTTAGCAGATAGGGAGGAAATATCTCAACATGAAGATAACAGATTAAATAAAATGAGAAAACCAGAACTATAGGCAAATAGAATAATGGAAAAAGTCTGAAATTCTGCTTGATACAAGAAGACACAAAGAAAAAAATAAAGCAAAGGATTGAATCAATGGGAGAGTGAAGACAAAAACTTTGGAATTTCTGTTACACTTTTGAGTGAGGCTTCATATGGTTATATATATATATATATGTTTTCTGAGGTTTTCGCGGGTGTTTTATGTAGGTCTTTGGTTGTTCGGGTTTTCTCCCGCGTAAAATTGGAAGTGTCTTGGCGACGTTTCGACGAAGTCCCATTCGTCATCTTCAGGCTGGTGTTTTCAGCTTCGTGCTTCAAGCAGCGAGGTCGCATAAAAAAACAAATATCGAACCTCTACGGGGAGGAAATCCACCATCTGACCAGGACCTATGAAAAACTTGAAGTCCAAAGAGCTTCCATTTTATGCGACCTCGCTGCTCGAAGCACGAAGCTGAAAACACCAGCCTGAAGATGACGAATGGGACTTCGTCGAAACGTCGCCAAGACACTTCCAATTTTACACGGGAGAAAACCCGAACAACCAAAGACCTACATATATATATATGGATATATGGATTCATGTATATTTTGTCCCTCTTGATGAAATCAGAAATAACTTTTGAGATTTTAGGCAACAAAGACTTTTGCTACAGTTACTCACTGTAATTTTCTGCCAAGGATTCCTTTGGTAAATGGGCATCCATGTAAATATGTAAAATAAAGAAATGTCATTACATTTACCAAGGTCAAGCCCATGCAAAGAATTGGAGATTTTCTGTGTGCTTTGCATGACTTCCAAGTCATTCTTGAGTTCAGCCTATAAAATATTGATTTCCTTTCTCTAATAAAATGCACTGAATATGTAACTCGTATCTCAAGTCCTTTATTAGCAGCTCTGGTTTAAAAACAAAGTCTAGATTAATCTTGCTGAGACCAAAGCAGAATATATCTGTATCTATAATTCTTGCCAGAGGCAATGCACCTTTGGCTGCGGTGCTTTTTACTGGGGCTTGGATAGATTTCACTTGACTGAGCAGCAGACTGACTCACAAATGATGTGGTCGCTTGTATCAGAGCTGCTGAGTACAATTCTTAATCAATTCAGACACCTATAAAAGTTGCCTCACTCCTCCTGGGCAATAAATCAAAATGTGAGAATCAAAGATTTATTGACAGTCCCACAGGCTTTTTAGAAGGAAGCCTCGACACTTCTCCTTGTAAATCATTGTCCAGTGTTTTATTTGCGCACGTTGAGGGTCACATCTCTTTGTGTCTGCACAATGTGCTTTCAGGTGTTCGAATCAAAATTTGTTCCAACCATGTAGCAAATCACAGTGTCAGAAGCAGCGATTCTTCCACAAAGGTGCCAATGAAAGGTTTGGGCCCTCAAAGAAGGGAAGTTGCCACCCGCAGAATAAGTCATTACAAACGCCTGACAGTTTATGTAGCATCTCCCACCAGTTGCCTCTAAGTGGATATTTGAAACACCGCCACAAAAATTGAAAAGGCTGCTCTCTTTTCCATTTTCTTTCTAAACAATGCAGTTTTAACAGTTTTTGCACTTAAAAGCAAAGGACCTGGTTTCTAATTCTCCCATGGGATAATAGCAACTCTTAAGGTTGTTTGTCTCCTGCCAGAATTTTTCTATTCCAGGCTGGGGGTGATAATAAACCACTTGTACCGAAGTACACCAAAGCCCCAATTGCCCCGAGACCCCATGCTCACACAAGAATGAGTCCCTAACTACTTTGGCTGATAGATATCTGTCAGAGTTTGTTCTCTTTTGTGGGGGGCTCCTGTTTATTAATAGGTCCCTATGTGCTCCCCTTCTCCTCTCCTCTCTCACCAGAGTCTATTTCATAATATATCGGTTTATTTTTGTTTTTTTGAAGCTTAGTTATGTGTTTCAGATGTCAAGATGAAGCAATTAGTGCTTTCCCTGGTCTCGGGATGTCGGAGGCTAAACAGGAGGCAGCTAAAAGTGCTCTCGTAACATAATCCTTCTACAGAATTGGCCTGGGATTTCCACCGAGAGCAGAACTGTAAAAGCAATACAAGAAATAACATATATTTGAATAAGAATCAGATCAATGTAAAGAAAGCAATCTGAGGTTTACACACACACACACATCATGGAGGGAGGGAAGGAGGGAAGAAAGAAAGAAGAAAGTATAAGTCAGTGATATAAAGAGCCAATTTCCTTTCAAAATTGCTTCTAGAATGCCTCCCCTGCTTCCCAATTCTTTCATCTTTATGGTAAAACATAGTTTTAAAGCAAAGACGGTTTCCAAATATCTACTTTCCTTTATGAACTGTCCAACATACAGAACACAAAGTATTTGCCGGATGAAAGTTACAGACTGTTATCCTGTTTGCTTTTGCTTCATGCGTGTTCCCCCCCCCCATCCCAAAGGAGCATAAATGAATGCAATGCAAGCCTGGATGTTTTCGCTTCTGAGAGTCTAAGGGCCTTTAAGGGCTTCCTTTTGGTTCTCAGGGCCAATTTTTTTTCCTTTGGCCAAAATTCTTTCAGTCTCAAAAAACAGAGGGAACCTTTCAGCGTTAAAGTAGAAAGGATGTCATTCCAAAAAAAAAAAAAAAAAGAGTGCTATAACCAGCAATCACTTTGGGATACCATGAAGTCAGGACAAAGCCATGTTTTTTTTTTTCTGGCAATTTGCATAATTTCCTCCAGCTCCAGAAATATATTATTAGTAATTGCTTCACCTTATCCTCGTTCTTAACAGTCCTGTAAATCAGTGGTTCTTAACCTGGGCGATATTGCCCCCCAGGGGGCGATTTCATTTTTCAGGGGGGCGATGGAATGAAAAGGGGCAACGTGGGGGCGAAGGAATGAAAAGGGGGCAATATGGGGGCGATGGAGCGAGAAGTTTTGGGGACACTTTTGAGACTTTTTCCTACAGTGAATCACTGTATATCTGTCCTATAAAAACATCAGATCGCTCGCTATTAGTGGATTGAATTGTGTTTTTCTTTTCGGGCATTTCACTTTCTTGCAATTGAATTTTGTTTTCAGTGGTGATTACATTTAAGTGTCTTGAATAAATAAGATAATAATGAAATACATGTATCACGAAGTTTGGGAATAAAGTGCCGGGTGGCACCAAAATTTTTCACACAGTTGAGATATGGGAAAAAGACTGGAAATAAACTATTTGCATTGATATGTCCTGATGATAATTTTAAAGAAAACAAAAAAAAAATGTTTGCATAAATTGAAGAATTATTTTCTATGTTGTGATTGAGAGGTTATGTTGGGGGAGGGGGGCGATGACAACTTCCTCATTGGCTCAAGGGGGTGATTTGTTCAAAAAGGTTAAGAACCACTGCTGTAAATGATGTTGATTGACCCTTAGCCTCTTCTGATGAACTTCCAGTGCCTTTTAAAGGCCTTCAGGATTTGGATAGCATCCCTGGAGTGATTGATTTTCTGCTGTGATGCAATGGACATTCATTACAAGGACCTTTGTTCTTTCACCTGCCACAGTACAGGTAGTTCTCAATTTACAACGGTTCATTTAGCGACCATTCGAAATTACAACGGCCGTTTTTCACGCTTACGTTCCTTGCAGCATCCCTGTGGTCACCTGACCCAGATTCAGACCCTTGGCCGCTGACGGTTGCAATGTCTCCGGGGAGTCACGTGATCCCCTTTTGCAATCTTCTGACAAGCAAAATCAGTGGGGAAGCCAGATTCAAGAAAGGCCGTAAAATGAGGCAAAACCCACGCAACAAAGGTCTCACTTTGCAACCCAAATGTTGGCCTCAGTTATGGTTGTTAAGTTGAGGACCACCTGTGTTGCTCACCTGGTTGCTTTCCTTCTCTTTGCTCCAAGCAAGAACAGACAGTACGAGGGACAACAGCCTTGATGTTTTCCACACATTAGAAAGAACAACCTTGCATTAGAAAGGCTTTACCACCCTTGACCCTGAAAGATGACGTATCCCTCAGATTTTTGCTCAGGAACGAGTCTATTGTTGTGCATCTTTTATTACCAGACAACCATTGGCTAGAGAAAGTGCCGGTTATTACCCTTGGCTCGATGGTCTTCTTCTTTCGGACACTGTCCGCCCTCCCACCATTTTCGCTTCAGAATTTCCAGACGGTTGGTCTCCTGTAGCTGGAGAATGGCCAAGTCAAACTCATCGCGGAAAGCAGAACCTGTAATGCCAAGTGGGGGGGAGGGGGACAAATCAGAGACCGAAAGAATAAGCAACTCTTATATAGGTTCTGTCTGGGGGAATTTCCATTTTCCATTTCTCTCCATTTCCTTTTGTAAAACGTTGCAGGAAACCCTGAACGTCAGGTTAAAAAAAAAAGTATTTTAAAATGTATTCTTGCCCTGAGTCTTTTAAAGCTACAACGGGAGAAGCTGTGCTAAAACTCTCTTGATGTCGTCTCTGAGGCTGTGGCACGTGCAAGAAGAACGAAGACATCTTCTACGTCTCTTGAGAGTCTTAATATGTTTATTGCTGAAACCTAGTAGTCTTTTGTGTTATGGAAAATCCTTCTCATAGTGATGTTGATCTGAATGTGTTCCTATTTCTCCCTCTTCCTACAATAAAACCAGTGCATGTAAAGCTAAGTAGATTCAGTTTCTCACTAGGGAGATGGATTCATTTCCTCCCCCAATCCCCACAAGAAGTATGGTTTATTTCTTATCTCAGAGTTCAAAGAGAGTTCTTCAGCAAGCAAAGTCATCAGACAATTCAGTGTGGGTTAGGAATAACTTTACCAAGTTCTTTTTTGGGGCTGAGGTCCTGCGTAAAAGGGCTTCTGTTGTTTTATTAATCTGTATGATCTATTAATGCCCTGAACCTCTGCAGACAGCTCAGAAGAACTAGAATTTCACCCCAAAGGTGCTTTTTCAAAAGGCAACTGGACTTGCTTCTTTTTCTTTGAAGACGTTTCGCTTCTCATCCCAGAAGCTTCTTCAGCTCTGGCTGGATGGTGGGGAAAGGACAGGTTTATATTCCTTGCAGACCGCTGGTCATTTGCCTTCTTTTAGAACAGTGGTTCTCAACCTTGTTAATGCCGTGACCCCCAACCGGTCATAAGTCGAGGACTACCCAACTGGTCGTAAGACGAGGACTACCCAACTGGTCATAAGTCGAGGACTTTCCCTGCCTGGGAGCACCGTGCATGCGTGGTGCCGCCCCCTGCGCCGGCCGAGGAGTAGCTGGCAAGTTGCAGAGACGGTGCAGGCCGACCACCGGCTGGGCCACCAGCTGGCCCAGCCCAAGGGAGGTAAGGCACCCGCCGGGCCCCACGCGCGCCAGCAACCCTCCCTGCGCCTGCCGGCCTCCCACCTCCCACCCCTGGCCCTCTTTTACTTACATTTTTAGTAGTTGTCAGCAGGGAGGGGCGGAAACTTCCAGATAGCTCGCCTTCGCTGCAGACAACTTGCAGCACTGTTTGCAGAATGGGACTTTTTGGGGCTCAGCAGGGCAGAGACAGCCTGGACAATTCCTATTGGCTTTTGAAAGCCAATAGAATTAGACTCTATTCAAGAGAGTCTATTCTACTGGCTTTCAAAAGCCAATAGAATAAAAGGGAGTAGCACAGCTAAGGAAAAGGGGGGAAAATGGCGGACTGCGTTGTTTGGCGACCCCCGTGAAAGGGTTGTTTGACCCCAAATGGGGTCCCGACCCACAGGTGGAGAACCGCTGTTTTAGAAAGTCATTGAGGCCACTGGGAGGTTTACCTGTGTCCTCAGGGTCACCTGAATAGTGCAAATGTGTGTGGAGGCTTCTTGGCTGCAGGACAGAAAACATCCTTCATGGTCTCAACGACTCTCTAAAAGAATGCAAATGACCATCTGTCTGTAAGGAGTATAAATCTTTCCATTCCCCACCATCCAGTCAGAGCTGAAGAAGCTTCTTGGATGAGAGGCAAAACATCTTCAAAGAAAAACAAGAAAGTCCAGCTGCCTCCTGAAAAAGCACCTTTGGGACAACCATGCACCTGGGTGACTGAGAATCTCCACAGACATTTAGCTAGAATTTCACTTCGCTGCCTACCGACTGGCATGCCAATCCCGTAGCCCTTGGTGTCCAGAAGGCCCCCGACCTGGGTGAGGTTGCAATTGCGCTGGCGGTAATACTCGTTCATGGTGGACTCCAGCAGGAACGCATAGTTCGAGTTGAGCACCCGTGCGATCCCTTCTTCCGTGCTTTTAACAAAGACGCTCGGCTGCTTAGAGTACATGTAATTCCACATTCTCTGATATGTCTGGTACCGCGAGTTCTTAACAAAACAAAAGAAGCAAAGATTTAAGCCTAACCACGCGACGTCTTGGACAGAATGTCCTACAGAGCCAGCTATGGGCTTTATGATTTATTTATCTCTTTGGCACAATGAATTCTGGCCTGATGACCTCCATCAGCAAAGGGCTTACTTGGAAAAACGTCATGCTGGAGCCTCCGTGGATTGTGCCGTACTCAATAGCCGTCTGGTCAGCCAGATCGTCAACGGATTCAATGGGCACGTCCATGCGTTGCACGGTGAGAAAGGCTGCCAGGTTAGCTGTGTAGGAGGAGATGATGATCAAGGTAAAAGCCCACCTTGAGTGAAGAAAGGGAAGCAAAAGACACAATGGAAATGATCTGGGCTTTGCATCTTAGGGCGATCCATTCCCTTCCGAAGGGTACTAAACATCCATAACTGCCTAAGAAGGCAATATATCAAGAACCGACTGGGTTAAGAGAAAAAAGTTCTGTTCTGTTCCATCTGTGCAAAATAAGGGCACATGTTCTAGACCAGTGGTTCTCAACCTTTTTATACGGCGACCCCCGGTCACATGGCCGCGCCGCGCATGCGCGACGTGGCCCCCATGCTGGTGCCCCCATGCGCATGTGCGCATGCGCGGCGGCACCCCGTGTGGCACGCATGCGCGGCGGCACCCCATGCGCGGCGCACATGCGCGGCGGCGCCCCCTGAGGGGGAAAAATGGCGGATCGCGTTGTTTGGCGACCCCCGTAAAATGGTCGTTCGACCCCAAAAGGGGTCGCGACCCATAGGTTGAGAACCGCTGTTCTAGACTCAATGGATGTCTTATAAAGCAGCCTTTCAGAACTTTGTTCGCTCCAGATGTGCAGAAAGAGCAACCCAAAGGCAAAAGGAATTGAGATGCAACCCTCAAACATCTGGAAGGTGAGTTAATCTTGTTCATGTAATGTTACTTCCTCTGCATATCAGAACCTGGTCAGGGTAGGGTTGGATACAGAAGAAAGCATTGCAAGACTTATTTCTTCCACAGCGGGATCATTGGATGCCAAATTATTATTGTGTATAAGCTATTTGGTTATTAAAGTTTCAGGATATTTCTGACTTTTTTTCCTCAACAAAACCCAAGGGCATTACAGAAAAAAGGTTATGGAGATTAGCTTTTACATAGCTACTGGAATTGAGAGATATTATACAGTATACTAGCTAAGAGCCAGAAAACCATGTAATAGAGAAATGATGTGTTTTTGCTTAGAAGGAAAGCCTATTTTTATCTATCTCCTTTTTTACCCTCTGCTGCTCATGCATTTCCGAGATTCAATCTGCAACTAAGAGCAAAAACATTAATGCCAACAAACTCTGGGGGATACCAAATTTATCATCAGATTTCATGCTAGCACGGTGAACTAATAGCTTTGTTTAGAATTTAATTTTTAAAAAATCTTAAAGGATTATGGAAAATTTGTTCACTTAATCATTGGGAAATATGAGTACATAAAGCTTCTCCAAATGTATTAACATGGGAATATCTGGACCCAGAGTGCCATTAGTGTCTCAGTTGCTATTGCATTGGATGTCTTCTCAATTATTTGGGTTTGGCTAGTCTAGAGAAAAGAAGGACTAATGGGGACATGATAGCAGGATTCCAGTATTTGAGAGGCTGCCATAAAGAGGAGGGAGTCAACTTATTTTCCAAAGCACCAGAAGGCAAGACAAGAAACAACTGATGGAAACCAATCAAGGAGAGAAGCAACCTGGAACTAAGGAGAAATTTCCTAACAATGAGAACAATTAACCGGTGGAACGGCTTGCCTTCATAAGTTGTGGGTGCTCCATTACTGGAGGTTTTCAAGAAGAGACTGGACAGTCACTTGTCTAAAATGATAAAGGGTTTCCTGCTTGAGCAGCGGGTTGGACTAGAACACCTCCAATATCCTTTATAACTCTATTCTGACTCATGGATTGATTGATGTAAGCAAAGATCTCACCCCAAATAACCTATATTGATAACATTATATGGAAGCACCCCAAGAAGAAACATGATTGTTTTTGTTTTCTTACCAGACTCCACTGACACAGCGGGTGGACAAAGCTCGTGGGGCAATTGTGGATCCCTGTTGCATGAATCCACCGACAGGAAACCACAGGCTGTTGCCCAGAGAATACTGATTTACCAGTAGATTGCATCGTCCTTGAGAACAGGGATGGGGGCTGTACCACTCATAGGGTGTCAATCTGCAGCATCAAAACACAACACATCCTGTTACACTGGCACACGAACACAGGGCACCATAGAAGCAAGAGTGACAGAATTTCCCCGGGTGCGTAATTTCTCAAGATGAGGTCTTGCATATCGTACGATTATGAGCAATCTGAAGCCAGGACAGAATACATCACCTTTGCCTGCATGTTCATAATTGTTTAGCCAAGTGGAACTTGGGGGAAATTGTTTACTCTTAATAAAGCTAATTTTTTTAAAAAAAGAGGGAGAAAGGCTCAGATTTGCAACTCTCTGATTAATTCTCCTTGACAACCGTTCGGAGCCAGGCAGGGATTATTTAAAATGGCGGCCCCCAGCCTTTTGGGCTCCACCAATCAGTTCTGTGGAGAGAGGTTTTCTGTGGCCATGGTTTTGTGTGCTGCCTCCATCCCATGGATGGGGCTTTGCTTCTTTGGCCAGGTGCCAAACAAGCAAATCAGGGAACCCTGATTTAAAAGCATGTTATTTTACACAGCCCTCGTCTTTCTCACTCTAGAAGAGTAGTTACTACTCAAGGATATTGTTTGGCAGAAGATTTTTTTTCTCCCTCTTTGGTCAGTCACCTGACACGAGGTGTCTGTTATCTGACTCCCCGTGTCATTGGTGCAGACACATTTAGAAAACGTATCCAGAGCAGCTGTAATCTTTGTGCAAGGAGCCTCCAACTGTGTTATAAGTGGTTTCAAATCCTGTGTGTTGCTGAAAACTTTTATGAGCTCATGAATCTGACAGTTTCAGTTGCACTAAGAGACTCCACCCCCAAAAGTGGCCAGTATTACAGCTTTGTAGCATTCATAGGCATCTACAAAGAGTGAAAATCTGTGGTGTCTCTTGTGGAAACAAAAGAGATGCAATCCTGTTTGGATTGGAAAGAATTGCAATGCTAGGGGTCAGAAAATTCTGTTTCTACTAAAAACAATTGTTGCGGGGAAGAGCAATAATCCAGCACTATCACATATATAGCAATATACAGCTATGATTTACATTTCCAAAAACATAGATTTTAACCTTCTTAGATTTGTTTGTTCTCATTTAGAGAAATTCTGGACATTTATCAAATAAAAATTATACTACAGTGATCTGGGCTCACTTTTAGAATGAGGCTGTACATTTACTAATAGGTATAATTCATTTTAAAGAAAACATGGCACATACTGTCTTCTGTTTAAACTGATCCAAGGTTAAGACTGTACTTGTTTTATTTTTTAGAAATAACATGATCTTTTATATTTGAAATAAGAAATCTTTGGTCATTTATGTTGATCTATTGATTGGTGGACCATAAGAAAGGCTGAGCGCAAAAGAATTGAGGCCTTTGAACTATGGTGCTGGAGAAGACTCCTGCGAGTCCCCTGGACTGCAAGGTGATCAAATCGGTCAGTCCTAGAAGAGATCAATCCCAACTGCTCTTTGGAAGGCCAGATCCTGAAGTTGAAACTCAAATACTTTGGCCACTCTAATGAGAAGGAAGGACTCACTGGAGAAGGGCCTAATGCTGGGAAAGATGGAGGGCAATAGAAGAAGGGGATGACAGAGAATGAGATGGCTGGATGGAGTCACTGAAGCAGTAGGCGTGAGCTTCAATGGACTCCAGAAGATGGTAGAGGACAGGAAGACCTGGAGGAACGTTGTCCATGGGGTCGTGATGGGTCGGACACGACTTCGCAGTTAACAACAACAATTGATTGGTGACATCCTGCAAGAACTGTGGTGTTTCCAGGAGATGACTGGAAAGTCCATAGACATAAACATCCTCTCCATCCATCCCTCCCTCCCTCCTACCCTCCCTCATCAACCTGGTCAAAGCAACCACATTAGATTTCTCCATGTACTTCTTAGAGGCTGCCAGTATGTGTCACTGTGAGGACAGGGAATAGACATAGAATGAAAAGTGTTTGAATATTAGTAGCTCAGCTCTCCAAGCTTGGCAATTTGGCTGCAAACGTTTCATCTCCATTGGGGGGGGGGGGATGTTGAACGTCAGTGCATTTTCATTTCAATAGAATGAAAAGTTAACCTACCTAGCCACCAAGAAGAGGACACAGCTGACGGCAAGGTAGGCAAGTAACATGAAGAGCCAAACCCCGGGAGAAAAAGGATCCAGAAAAGAGAAATAGCCAGGCTTGCGCCCCTAAGACAGAGATAATAATAATCATTACAGTTCACTTCTACGACTTTCATACAAATTTAAAAACAAACCTTTGTTGAACAGAATAAATGGGTAAGCTAGACTAGCTTAGGTGGGGTAGTTTGGGATTCACTGTCTCCTGGTAAGACATCCACCATGCACATGATCTGAAGTAGGCAATCACAAATACTTTATCGTTGTTCCCAATAAAGCTACGGGAACAAGTCCAGCTGAGATGGACACCAAATCAAGGCTACTCTCCATTTTTCATGAACGTCTAGGGAGATTCTCAGTCATCCAGGTCATGGTTGTCCGAAATGTGCTTTTTCAAAAGGCAACTGGACTTTCTTGTTTTTCCTTGAAGATGTTTCGCTTCTCATCCAAGAAGCTTCTTAAGTTCTGAAGCAGCAGCTGAAGAACTGAAGAAGCTTCTTGGATGAGAAGCGAAATGTCTTCAGGGAAAAACAAGAAAGTCCAGTTGCCTTTTGAAAAAGCACCTTTGGGATATGGTTCATGAAGCATCTTCACTTTGAATCCTGAGGCTCCGTAGTATCCAAAGCAGAACATTCAGATTCAGTCACAGCTTTGTTCCATACAGTATTATGAACTTGTGAACTTTAAAGCTTCCTCCTTCCCTTATGTATTCAAGATGGACAGTGAATAATATTTATATGTTACTTATATGTAAGAGTGTAGGTCTATATGTAAGTTTATATAGTATGTTTTAAATGTATGTTATGTATGTGTACACTTTGAGAGGAAGCAACTAAATTTCATTTTTAATGTGTGCCACTGTGCCTACAGGAAAAAATGACAATAAAGGTTATCTTATCTTTTCTGTTCTCAGTTGATTCCTTTCCTATGACTGATCTTCAGTATCTTGGGGCAAATGTTTTAGAAAAGGGGAATTTTGCAAGAACCAGCTTCTTGGGAATTGATCTCCCGGATAATAGCTGTTCAATAACAAGCCTATTCCAAATTAAGGTCCAAAGCTAGATGCATGGTGGAACAAACAACTGCTTCAAGTAGAAAATGTGCAAAATTTCAGAATTGTGGTAGTTCGTTTTATAACATGTTTTCTTCTGACCAATGCTAGCGGGAAGATGGCTTATGTCATACAGATCTAGTATTTCCATAAATCACTTTTGCTACTCTCCCAGAGAAAGAAAATGGATTTTGTGTCATGTTCTTCATTTCTCATGAACCATTTTCAGTTTGCATCCTGAATCTCTACTTGCTTTTCTGTCTTCCAGGGATTAAATAAATAAAATCATCATTATCACAAAGTGCAATGGCATCTATTACATCCAGCAAGCTTAAAACTTTGTCTAAAAGCATTCATGCCACAACAAACCATTACATAAATTGTCTGAATCAATTAACAAACAAACAAACAAACAGGGAAGGGTATTTTAGGATATGTGGATTTCAAACAGGAGAAAAAGACAATCCGTTCTAACCCAATGTTTGTACTTATCCACCCCCAAAACTGGTTGGGCTTTGAAAACAATGGAAAATGGTGTGTTTCAAAACACACAGGTTTCGACTGGAAATCAAGCTAAGTAACTTTCATGAAAAGACGGCCTATCCTTTCCTCTCCTGCCCCCATGTCCTTCAGATGAGGAGTCCAACTCAGAAAACATTTGTTATTGTCTGTTTTTTGGCTAAAGAAAACAAAGGCAAATGCAACCAAAATCAGTGTCTTCTAGTGACTTAACTACACAGAGACTCTACACATGTGTAGCATGTAGTTGTGAAACTGGTAATTGCACGGTTGCCCTGGCGCACATGGTCCCACATTAGAAATACAGGGAGTCCTTGACTTATGACCACAATTGAGCCAAACATTTCTTGTTAAGTGAGACATTTGTTCAGTACATTTTGCCCCACTTTAAGACCTTTCTTGCGTTTGTTCTTCAGTGAAAAACTGCAGTCGATAAGTTAGCAACACGGTTGTTAAGTGAATCTGGCTTCCCCATTGACTTTGCTTGTCAGAAGGTTGCAAAAGGGGATCACCAGACCTTGGGACATTGCAACAGTCAGTTGCCAAGCTGCGAATTCTGATCATGTGATCATGGGGATGCTGGAAGGGTCATTTCCCCCCCCAATGCCGTTGTAGCTTTGAACAGTCACTAAATGAGCTGTTCTACCTGTACTTTTTCCTTTAATGTATAAGTACCGTATCTTGTCCTATCAAGCCCAGATCTCTAATTACTGTTACTGTATTTTTCTACTGCCAGGAGCTTTTGGCATAAGGGACCTTGAGCAAACGCGTCGCAGTTCCTTCTTATCCATCAGAGGTCTACTAGCTTTCTCCCACTTTGATGAGTTGCCCATTTACACTGCTCTAAAAGGAAGTCACAAGTTTGTTAAACGGAGATATCCATTCATGTGAACACACAGAAAGGCCGTGGAAAGTTTCACTGTTAGAAAATACGGCAGTATCATCTCCCTGCTGACAGTACGGCACCAAACCCCTGAGTCCCAAGGCCTGATTTAATGATCCCATTCCACAATATTCCGTTAGTTTGAATGGGGAAGGGGGAGAGGAAGAAGGCTGTATTTTTAACAGCAGGTCAACAGCTAGCCCTCCTATTAGAGTCCCCGTGTCAGAAAGCCACACTTGATTAAATTGTAACACATGAAATTGAGACAAATGACAGGCCCATTTGAGCTTGCCATTTGTAGTTATTTGTGAAGCTTGTATGTTTGTGTGTGTGTGTGTGTGTGTGTGTGTAGAACGGGGTACAGGCAAGCCGGGTCTGAGGACTGAGAAAAGAAATGATAGAAGACAGAAGCAAAATGTCATCTCAACGGAGAGGAGAAGGAGACGAGGCAATGCCACTTGAACAGGCTGGAAATGCTTCTGCAATTATTTGTTAGGAAACATCTGATGGAAACAATAGATTAACACAATGCCAGCTGCAGTTTTCCATGCCAGAATATGAAGGGAAGAGGCACAGATGGGCTTTGAGCACCATTTTCATCAGATCTGCACAGGAAGACTAGAGTAATGAGTTTTCAAGCCTTCTAGTGTTAAATTAATATTTACTCTTTTAATTACTTAATTGCTGCACTGCTTTTATACAGTATATACTAAGCAATAGGTTTTTCCCCCCCTGAAACCCATAGAAAAGTTACAAAGCAACTCTAAGACACAAGAGCTGATGTTTGGAGAGGTAATGTGAAGAACAACAGAAAAGGAAAGCAAAATGCTATACTAAATTCTACATTTGAGCTCTAAGGGGATCCAACAGTACCTATTGGTTCCTTTCTGTAACATGTCAGATTTTTTTTTTTAAAAAAAGGTTGACCATGGAAAATCCCAAGGCACAAAGGCTGCCTCCTACCTGCTTTGAAGGACACAAGGACAGCTCTTGTTCTAAACTACTGAAAAGACTCAATTTAGCAATTCTTTGCTTTCTTTTGAGAGACTGGCTTAAAAAAAAAAAAGACAAGACAACAGAAACCATAGATATAGCATTCTGTTGCAAACTGCAGTTTGAAGGGACAGAATTCTGTGGCAGATAGGCCACCAGAATGGGTAGATCATACGGTTTAGGGGCAACTGCTAAATGTTTCAGTGACGTTTCCATCACGATAGTGGAAAACAACAACATAAAGAAATCCTTTGTTTGGCCCATTTGCAAATGCTTTTCTACCATTGGGCTGATGGCATATTAGAGGAAGGATATGGAGATGCCCTTCCTTTCTGGGGAAAAAGCATTTCCTACTAGCAGATACTGGAGAGGCAGATAGCCAACTGATACAACAGTAGTGGGCTTTTTCAGGATGACAAGGTGGAAGCTTACCGCAAGGAGGTTGAGGGGCTGATGAACTGGTGTAGGGAAAACAGCCTAGTTTTAAATACCGGAAGAACCAAAGAGATCATTGTTGATTTCTGAAAAGGCAGGCACAGCCACACTTCTGTGTGCATAAATGATTCACCTGTGGAGAGGGTTACCAGCATCAAATTCTTGGGTGTGCAGCTAATGAGTAGGCTGACTTGGTCGCTCAACAGTGAGAAACTGGTGGAGCAGGCACAGCAGCGCCTGCATTTTCTGCATCGCAGGAGAAAAGCACGTCTTCCTTCCCCTGTCCTGACTACATCCTGTCCTACAGCATCACAGTCTGGTTTGGAAGCATCCCTGCTTCGGACAGGAAGGCGGTGCAGAGAGTGGTGAGAATGGCCGGAAAGATCATTGGCAGTTCCTTCTCTCCCATCCAGGACATAGCACAGAAGCGTTGCTTGAGCAGGATCCGTAAGATTATCTGGGACACTACACATCCTCTTCACGACCTGTTTTCCTTGTTACCTTTTGGGAGGAGGCTTTGTGATATTCGTAGCAGAACATCCAGATTCAGCGATAGTTTCATTCCATACAGCATTAACCTTGTGAACTCTCAAGCTTCCTCCTTCCGTTATATATTCAAGATGGGCAGTATTTAATATTTATTTGCTACGTATATGTAGGGATGTGGGTCTGTATATATATTGTTCATAGTATGTTTAGGTGTGTGTCATGTATGTGTTTCACTTGAGAATGGGCAACTAAATTTTATTTTTGATGTGTGCCATTGTGCCCACAGTGAAAAAAATGACAATAAAGGTTATCTTATCTTCCCAATTCTGGAAATCCTGAGAAGGAAATAAGCAAAATCATGGTGATGAATTGCGCAAACAGGTAGAATCTCTCCCTTCTTCTTCTGACTCTTGGAGTATCTGTTGTGTTCCTACTCTCAGGGCTGAGACCAACTAATAAAGTGGCACAGTAGGAAAAGGGCAAGCAAACTCTTATCTAAGGGGAACTGAATTGATAAGCTTCCTTTTCTTTTTCTGCCTTTTTTCCCCTGAAAACTGCCTATTCTTCTCCCTCTCCCGTTAAGCCTATTTTTTTCAAAAGAATTTTTTTTCTTTCAGTGAGGACATTACTGGGTGTGTTTTTTTTTTTTTTTTACTCCCCCAGACGCAGCTCAAACCAAGGGCAAAGGCAGAATTAACATCCATCTCGGCTTGCATCTGTCAATATAATGGCCACCTGATTTTTGCACAGGGATTAGAGCAATGGTTCTCAACCTTTTTAATGCCGCGACCCCCAACCGGTCATAAGTCGAGGACTACTCAACTGGTGCAGCACCGTTTGCAGAATGGGACTTTTGGCGGGCTCAGCAGGGCAGAGACAGCCTGGACAATTCCTATTGGCTTTTGAAAGCCAATAGAATTAGACTCTATTCAAGAGAGTCTCTTCTATTGGATTTCAAAAGCCAGTAGAATAAAAGGGAGTAGCACAGCTAAGGAAAAAGGGGGGAAAATGGCGGACTGCGTTGTTTGGCGACCCCCGTGAAATGGTCGTTCGACCCCAAATGGGGTCCCAACCCACAGGTTGAGAACCACTGGATTAGAGAGAGCAACTCAACCAGTCTGAGATAAAATAGAGTTATTGTTCAGTGGATGAAGATGCTGCCAACTGAGTAGTGGGCCCATTTGTCTAAAGGAGTTTCTCCTGCTTGTCTCCCTAATGGAGAAATGTGGGAGTTCTAGTCCCATAAAACTGGAAGGCGTCTTGTTGGAGAGGCTGACAAAAGGCCTGCAGATTAGAAGCCCAAACCAAATGGCAGTAGGAACGTGTATGTTCAAAGCTGAGGTTCTGACAGAGGCTTCCACATTTGTCAAGGAGCATCGTCTAAGAACGGAGCTTTGTACAAACTAGGGAGTCCTTCTATCCATGAATCAGGGTCTCCTGAAGGTAGCCAATGCACTCTCTTCCTTCTTCTATGCTCCGTGAACTTCTGGAAGGGGAACATATAACTCCTAGGAGGGAATTATCCGCACCACTTTGCAAAAGACAGAATTCATAGGCCACAGAATAGGAAGTTTATTATTATTATGTTTACCAAAGGTACCATGAAAGGTATCTTTAACCCCAAAAGGTAAAGGTTCTGTTGAGTTGAGCTAGGCTCTTGGAAACCGTCAGGAGATTATTTTGATTTTCATGTCAGCCTGCAGTCTGGTTTGCCCAGGTGATATCCCATTCAAGTACTAATCAAGGCTGACCCCGATTAGCTTTTCTTCTAAATCAGCCAGAATGAATTAGCTCCTACCACCAGCTTTGATATTCCACTACAGAATCTAATTTTTGATTGTGAGTTTTATAATTAGTGTAATTTCTAATTTTCCCACAATGTTATTTAAAAAGAAAAGCGGACAATATCTGGCACAGCGTAACACGTCTCTTGACCAATCTTTGCCCTAATAAAATCCTCAACTTGAGCTAATTTTGAGGTTTTAAATAATGTCAGAATAATGCCTTTAAACAGTAGGAAAACAAAAAGAGTTTTTCCCCCCCCCTCTTTTTGGTAGACAAATCCTCACAGCTATTGGCTTTGTTCAACATTTGTATGCAGATATCCTTCAACGTGCAAACGCTTTTAAGTGATGTGTCTTACCAGGTGAACGCGATAGAGGATGCTGATCCCCAGAGTCATGAACGGCTTTGAGAAATCAATCACCTTCTCTCGCTCTGCTGTAATGGTCAGGCCAGCTACTGCCAAATCAGCTTTCTGAAAAGGAAGCACAGAGAGATGGATACCTGTTGCCCAAATGGGGTTTGGGGTAGCAAAGAAATCTGACACGGCTGATTTCTAAAGAAGTATTCTCGTGGAAGTTTTGCCTGAGGAAGAAGGCTTGAGAGAAAGATATTCTTTGGCTCTCTGTGTTTGTGTATGTGGAGAGGGAGAGAGAAAGAGAGAGAATGCAAAGTTAGGCACGTCTGACAAATGTCTTGAGCAAAATGAAACCGAAAGAAGCAGCTGACTCGAGGTCATAGCCCAGGATTTGTAATTAAAGAGATCTGAGTTGAAGACAATTTGGTCCCTAAGTTTCTCCAATGGTCATTCTTCAAAGCAACTATTTCAGTAAAAAACACAATGAAGAGAATCCCACAAACAATCAGAACCCCTGTTGCTGATTCTGGAGGATGTAGCTCAATCTTTTTTGGGGGGACCTTGGGGACCGCTTCTCTGCTTTATTGGGAACAGACAATCAAGCTTGGCTTCTATTTCATTGGCCAAAAGGACACAACAACCAATCACAAACATGCAACTTATAAGCAATTTTCCCCAGGGAAATGAGTTTCAACTTCTGCCTCTCTCTTCCATGGCTATGGAAGCCACCGGTCATTGGAACAAACATCTCAAATCCCTGTTCTGTGTCCTACCACACAGATGCCTGAAAAGATCTTGGAATAATCTTGGAACTAATAATGTGGAGTGTATCACTCCATGCCAGTGGGGGAGAATAATATATGGATCAAACCTTTCCCAGGTCACAAAGCCAACAGAGCAAGAATAGATTGGAGACACCTCCTCTTCCTGTATGTGGACTGTTCCTATTTCAACAGCACTTGCTTTGTACTAGGAAGCTAAGCAGAACCTTAAATGTCTTTCCTCCTTGCCATCTGGAATCTGAAAAGGTATACCAGTGGCAACAATCTCCAATTAGGTGTCCTTTAGCAGGGATGGAATTTCCAGAAGTCTCAGAAATCTTTTGCTCCAGTGTGCATCAGGCCTAAAGGAAGCTGGTGTCATACTGAGAGTCATTGCAACATATTAGTTAAGATGTTGGCATAGTAACATTAGCAATAGCAGTTAGACTTATATACTGTCCCATAGCACTTTACAGCCCTCTCTAGGCAGTTTACAGAATCAGCCTATTGCCCCAGACAATCTGGGTCCTCATTTTACCAACCTCAGAAGGATGGAAGGGTGAGTCAACTTTGAGCCGGTCAGGATCAAACTTCAGGCTGTGGGCAGAATTAGCCTGCGATGCTGCATTCTAACTACTGCACCAACCTCAGCCATAGAAACTCCCTGGATGATTTTGAGCCTTCTCAGCCATTCTACTTTGTAGGGTTGTTCTTTTATGCAAAAAAACCAGGAAAAAGTGGTATGCAGTTCATTTTGAGTTACCGAAGGAAAAGCAGGATGGAAGCCCAATAAAAAATAACTAATAAACCAGAAGAGTGTAATGTAGGGAGCTCTCCATGGTCCTGGTTCAGGGCTCTATTCTTGGAAGATCATATCTTTCCAGGAACGCAGCCACAATCTATCACAGTTGGCATTTTGCAAATGGAAGCTCGGCTGCAACACCTTTAGTTAAAAGAACACCGCTGCAGAAACAGCCATAAACAAATGACAGGACTTCTTCCTTTCTTCATATTTAAATGGAGGTGGCGATGCGGCAACCTTGATAAGAAATCAAAACGAGCCATGCCTTACTACAAATTATTTTTTTTAACTCATTTATATAACTTGTATAAGGATATTCATTTTAAATGTGACTTTTATCACCTCTGGTCTTATTTAACGTCATGAAACTGCTCTTTGAGGGTGTGTATTTGTTTAAAGGAACCCAAACAATAGCAAGCTCCCCGCCTCTCACATTGGTATTATTCCCAAGGTAGGACGCTGTTGCATTGCTTCTGAAAATTAACTGTACATATCCTACCCTTGTCCTTTATATCTCCAGGCTGGTAGGTTCCTCGTTGTAGAGGAACTTGCAGAAACAATAAACAAGGATTTATCACTCATGATTCGTAACCAAAGTGGAAAACCTCTGACAAGTATGTCAAAGGCTGGGGTATCTTATAATTTGGGGTATTTAGTTCTGCTGTAACATAATGCACCCGTCATATCCTCTGTTTGTCTCTCTTCTCAGTTTATACCTATCAGTTTTTATGGTCACTCTCTCCCCACATGATTCTGGGCAACTAGCATCCTATTAAAAATAACAAATTATCTGTCTAAATATGTCAACTGACCCAGCTGGAGAAATGTAACCTTTTAGTTTGTGAACTTGAAATACAAATACTTTGACTGTTCCTTTCACTAAGCCATTGGAGAGAGAAAAGAGCTTATATTTAAACCTGCATTTATAAGGCGAAAACAATGGAACAGCAGCACCACTATCCCTTGTAATCCTGAAAGTTTTCTCCACCCTTCTCCCCTCTGCAGAGGAACTTTGGTCCTTATTAAGTCTTATTGAAGTGGCTTATATTATTTCAGAATTCAGCCTCTACCTGTGACCGTTCAGATAAAATAAAATATTATTTTTCGGTATCTTCATCAAGAACAAATAACGGCTATATTGGTGCACCCACACAAAGACATTTCATACATCCTTTTATCCTTCAGCCCTTTAGCACATAAGCTAAAAGAAGCAGGTTTTTCTTCTGCTAGAGAAAAAAAAAAAGATTCTTCCACAGAGTCAGAATATTTGTCTGTACACTAAAAGACAGAAGGTCACCACCTCAGTCTTTGTGTTTGGTTAAGATTCCTGAAATCATGGTCTATGCTACCCATAGCAGCATCTGAACATCTGACTCAGTATGTTGTTTGGAAAATACAAGCTAGATTAAAGTGCTCTGATGGATTAAAGTCCTGCTACTAATGAAACCCACCAAATTTAGACCTCTTTTAAGTTCTCCTCAGTTCAAGGAAAGCTCCATTCGATGCAAACCACAGAGAAACTCTGTTCTACAGAATTTGTCCCTCAGTTAAAGGCATAGACCTTACTCCATTCCCAGCAACTATTTACAGCAAAGCATGTAGTAGCTCTCTTGCTTCCTTTATTAGACATTTAAAGGCCAGTAGACTATTTTCAGCAAATGGAAGTTGACACATCAATCACACTCGCAGAAGATAACCATTTTCCTATTATGTTTAATACCACAAATGATTCACAAAGGACCTTTATATTAATGTGAGTTCTCTGGGGCACTGGGGGTGAGGTGTCATTATGGATTTAGATGGCAAAGAACGCCCTTGTAAAACCAGAGATCGATATTAAAAGTAACATTCTCGAGAAAAGGCCATTGTCAAAGCATAAACCACTAGAGAGGGCTAAAAATTCAGTCACAGCTTTGTTCCATACGGCATTAACTTTGTGAACTCTAAAGCTTCCTCCTTCCGTTATGTATTCAAGATGGGACAGTGAATAATATTTATATGTTACTTATATGTAAGGGTGTACGTCTATACATATGTTGTATATAGTGTGTTTAAATGTGTGTTGTGTATGTGTACACTTTGAGAGCAAGCAACTAAATTACATTTTTAATGTGTGCCATTGTGTCCACAGTAAAAAATGACAATAAAGGTTATCTCTCTCTCTCTCTCTCTCTCTCTCCCTATGTATCCATCCATCCATCCATCCATCCATCCATCCGTCCGTCCGTCCGTCCGTCCGTCCGTCCGTCCGTCCGTCCGTCCGTCCGTCCGTCCATCCATCCATCCATCCATCCATCCATCCATCCATCCATCCATCCATCTATCTATCTATCTATCTATCTATCTATCTATCTATCTATCTATCTATCTATCTAAGGTTTCTAGCAATAAAAGTCCATGGATTCTTCACTCTGCTCTCAATGATCCACTTGAATTTTGAGTCTGATCAGGGCTCCAAGGGCACCAAAGATTGATGTCCCAACTAACCTGCCTGTCTATTTAACCGAGTCTCCAGGGAGTAATCCTTGCAAACAGATCGATGTAGCAGGCTCTATGAAGTTTGGGTCTTAGGATCTGGATCTGAAATGATGCTATGCTGACTAAGAATGATAGGACTTGTATTCATATTCGAAAGCACTAAGTTATAGATGCGAGAGACTATTTGTAGCTCAGGGTTGAACTGTGGGATTCTTGACTCCTATGAGCTTGGTTGTTTTCCACTGTGCATAGGGTACTGATGATGTTACCTAGTTTGGTAATGAAACGCCTGCAAGAAAGCAACCAAGCTCAGAGAGCACCAAGGACCCCACAACACTAAATATGATAAGACGGAGCTATTTCATTCTTCTCTTGGTTCTTTTTTTGGTCTCTGTTTTTCGTTGGCTGTTCTGGGTCTTTGCCCCTCCTGCCGCACAGTCTTTTTTCTGGTCTTCTTAGAGTGATGGTTAGTTCTCTTGGATCTCAGGGCAAGCCCAGTCCTTATTGAGAACACAGACATAGTTTTGGGGCTACTTCTATATAGTGGAATCTGAACGTTGATAAGAGAGGTGGCTGTACCCGAATTAGCAAGTTTAAGCTTGTCTTTTTGCAATGATAAGCTGTTGCTCATTATCTTTGGTTTTTTTTTCCTAAGCTCATAGTTTCTTGACTTAAAGATTGATTATTCTCCAATAATCAATATTCTCCAAAGTGCCTGAAGGCAGGACAAGAAGTAACGGATGGAAATGAATCAAAGAGAGAAGCAACCTAGAACTAAGGAGAAATTTCCTGACAGAAAAATTAACCAGTGGAACAACCTGACTCCAGAAGCTGTGAATGCGCCAACACTGGAAGTTTTTAAGCAGAGACTGGACAACCATTTGTCTGAAATGGTATAGGGTTTCCTGCATGAGCAGGGGGTTGGACTAGGACAGTGGTTCTTAACCTTTTTGAACGAATCGCCCCCTTGAGCCAATGAGGAAGTTGTCATCGCCCTCCTCCCCCAACATAACCTCTCAATCACAACATGGGAAATAATTCTTCAATTTATGCAAACACTTTTTTTGTTTTCTTTA